CCTAGTACCATATCATAGTTTCCTAGTGGGGTTACGTCGAAATAAATGGTTTTGAAGTAGGTTCCTATAATCATGGTTTAGGGTTCCGTTTTATGGGAAATGCCTAGGCCTAGACTTTCTCTATTTAGTCTAATGATGGGTCTAGATTGGTTCCTTTTCTATACTGGCATTTTGATTTGTTGTATATATTGTGGATCTATGAAATTTCTATATACTCCTGAATCGACGAGTACCCTAACTGTCTTTAGGAGGATACTTACGTCGATCTTAAGGTATGCTGCCTAGTTAGTGGCTGTAAGTTATTGTGGTTTCTCTTAGTGCGTGGACGTATTATCGTTAGCACTCTCGTCGTTCCTAGGAGTTTCTTTAGGCGTCTATATCTCCGATCTTAGTTCCTGCATGACTAGATCTTGGGAGCTGGTATTATTCCAGTCTCTATATTAAGTCTATCCTTGACTCTCGATTTCCTTAAAGTCGACGTCTAGAAATAGGTCCGTTATCCTTTTCCGAGTCTTTTATATGGCTTCTTGTAGATGGTCGAATTTTTCTTGGCGCTCCTTACTACTGGCTATTATTGCTTCGAGTTGCCGCATCGCTCTGTCAAGAGCGTCATCCTCTTCTCGTTCGAGCGCCTTCGCCCGTTGGTAGGCCGCGTTAAACCTTGCGTTGATCGCTTCTGCCTTTTGGACCTCGTTGCTTTGGGTCGTTTCCGTTAGTTCGTCTTCGGCCGTGGCCCGAAGTTGTTGTGGTTTGTTATAGCCTCCTCGCTCCTAAGTGGCTCTAAGTTGCTGAGGTTGCTCTTTACTTCGGTAATCCTTGATACAATGTCCTGGTTTTCCACATTTAAAACACAGGTTATTGTTTTTGCGTCTTTTCTATTCCTTATCGGGGAGTCTCGCTGCGTCGAGCTTCATTAGTCGTGGGCTATAATCGTCTTGTCTCAGTGCCCTATAACTGTGACTTCTGGGTTGGAAGTGGTTTCCTCGTCCTGGGTTCCTTCTCCACTATTTGACCTCCTTCTTTTCCTGTTGGCGGTCGAAGTACCGGTTATTGAATCGGGTTGCCACATCGATTAGTCCCGTCATTGTAGTCGGTCGATCGATGCGCGCAAGTTCGTCTTTCACATGGGATTTGAGTCCCTCTATATACCGCGGGATAAGGGCATAGTTATCCCATCCTAGCACTGCTGCGGTCTGCATAAACTACGTGGTGTAGGCTGCGGTGGAAGTGGTCTATTAGAGTGTTACTAGCTTCCTTTCCGCGTTAATGGTTGCATTGATTTCTCTGAACATCTTAGTCATATAAGCTACGAAGTTGCTGTAGCTTATAAAGATGTCTATCGTTGCTGCGCTCCAATCAGGTCGATCTTTTTCGTAATATTCGCGGATGTGGACTTCGAACTAGTCCTATGCTTGTCCGCGAAGGTGAGTTGATACGAAGATGATCTTGCTTTCTTCGTCCGTGAGTTGTGCTCGATTGACATTGAGGTGCATTCTTATTTGAGTGAGAAAGCCTCTTAGCTTAGATCGAGTTCCATCGAAAGGCTCAGCTTTTGGGAGTTTCACGACATGCGTAGCCGTGGCGGGAGCCGACGCTCCAACCTAGGTATTAAGCTGCGTGATGTGGTCCTGCATATTAGGGATCTGATTCACATCTTGCGATAGGGCGTTGATTCGGCCAGTGAGTCCCACTACGTGGGCTCTTAGCTATCGGATTAACTTAGTCTGATCCTTATCATCATTATCGCTGTCTAGAGGTGGCCGCGCCGTTTATGACTACGGCGGCACCGGTGGTCGTCTAGGTTTCGACATGGTTGCTTACTACTTCATAAGATAATTTCGTAAAGATAGGGCGTTTAATGTGTTACGCGGTGCTAACTAGTCACAGTAAGTATCGCTTATATGGTTCCTTATATGTACCAAGAGGCTCGTCCTTAAGTCTCACACGTAATCGTACCGTTGCCGTTGGGCCTTATATGGGCTCGGATCTATAGAGTAGACTCTTATTGGGCCGTGCTAGATAGTAGCGCCTAGTCAAGCTATGCTTAGGATCTATATCAAGTAATAAGAGACTAAGTATACCTTTCCTAGTAGGGTGGGTTGTCTTAAATACGAAACAAGTTATGAAGCTAGGGTTATAGGTCCTAAGTAACAATATGTAATTAAACGCGAAGAACTAAATACATCTATGGTAATGACCGTTCCTTATATATCTAATCCATCGCATCGCTGATGAGTCCGGGACTCATTACTGATCTGTTCCGGTCTCATCGCCGATGAGCTGCACTCATCGCCTAATAAGTCGGCACGTGATCCTTCCCTAGGATCCTTGTCTTCCTAGGATACTAAGCTTCTTAGGATCCTTCGTATCGTAGGGTACTTCACGGTTGTTAGTAACCATAGCTTATCGTAGGGTGTTGTCGATCCTAGGATACTCTATATCCTAGGAATCTCCCTTTTGGTTCTAAACCGTGGCTTATCGTGGGACATCTCTGATCGTAGGGCAGAGCCCGTCGTAGGATCTTCCCTATTAGCGATAACCATAGCCTGTCGCAGGATACTCCTTATCCTGCGATCGTGCTTATCGTGCGATCGTTCTTTTCCTAGGATGGTACCGAATCGTAGTGTCCTTCGGTTATCACGTATCATGCATCCTGTTGTGAAGAGGCTATGGTTCTCCGAACCATGCCTTGCACGTGATCTGCACGTCGTCCCGTTCATCCAGGATGATTGGGTATAAGTGCCCCGCGGGTGGTGCGGCCCCCTATAGGTCCGTAACATACGACTCCCATGGGAAACCCGTGGGTATACCTAGGACGGGAAATCGGTCAAAAAAAATCCCATGGGAGTGGGGCGTGGTGGTCAAAACCATATTATCCCGGCCCGTATGACTAAGGACCCGCGGGCACGGGACAAGAATTTAGGACCTCCCGCGGGTTTTGTCCAGGTCTAATCAGCACTATCAACTAATTAGAATGCCTAAAAATTCTACTCTCCCACCCATATCAAAGTGCGTTAGACCGGCCACCTAGGCATCTACTAGACTACCACCACCAAAACATACTATATTAGGTATATCAGACGCCCAGAAGCAGGCATTACGTGCCTTTTGGTCTAATTCTAGCCCAAAACCAACATAGAGCGCTTATATAGATTGGTTTTAGTCCTAATTTGACCATAAGATTAGCCGTATATTAGTCTTAAGAATCCTTTCATCCTAATATGATTATCTTGATATAGGGCCAACCAGGGCAAATATGCGTACTTCCTCATCTTTTTAGCCTATTCTAGATCAAAGACTCTCTAATTGGGTTAGTGGGCATATTAATAATAGGAATCTAATTACTAGCCCTTTAATCCAAATTAAAGCAGCTGCGCTTTAGTCTAAAATCCCTGAATATCAAGATCAACAAAAACCTGCATTCTTAGATAGTTAGCTAGCTCGTTTTAAAAAGCGGCATAATCTCCGATATCATACCTTCTATGGAGAAGCTGCTTCAGTCCTATCTTCTGTACATGATCAGATAAAAGAAATTCGTATAATATGCGACCAATATGAACCATCTAAGATCTATAATATAGATGAAACTGGTCTTTTTTGGCGACAGATGCCAAATGGGGGTCTTTCTTATGGAAAAATTGCTAAATCTCATAAGCGCTAGAGTAGGCCCCGACCCGGGGAAGCTTAGGTATGATCTAAATGAGAAAACCAATCTGTGACATATTTCTGCTGGTATAAGATATTTTTTTACCGCGGCAAATCCATGAAGCTCAGGATTAAGTGCTAGAAGTCGGGGTGGGGGTAAACGTTAAATTGCATCTAACGCACTCTTCGCGTTGTTCCATGCGACCTAAAGTTTGGAGGTCAGGCAATCGGTATCGACTACTAGATTTGAAGCTTTATAATGCCCTCTCTAAATGAGGCCTAACGTTCGTGCTCTGATCGGTAGCCAGTTAGTATGGAATTCCTTTGACGAGACAAAATGCCAGAAAATTGTTCGTTTTTTGAACATCCTCTAGGTGGATAATTCCGGGGGCTTTGTCGAGCCAGGAAACAGCCTCTTGAAAGATCGGATAGAAAGTTCCTTCGGTGCCATTATTATCACTGCATTCTATTCTGGCATGGGATGGTGTTTCAGCCTAAAGCTCATGATCGACATCATTTGTCTGACAAGGGAAAGGCGTCTGTTCGGCAAAAAATTTCAAAAAATTAAGGTGACGAATAAAATTACCCAGCACATAACATTCGATGGGCGGGCAGCCCATTACATTCCATACCACTTCCCAACAGCAAGAGTGGATCAGAGCACTGTTTATCTTGGAGGGATACTTTTCAGCCGGTTGAAGCTGATCGACCCCTCGTATTTCCATCGGCTGGTGATAACTTTTCCAGGTATCTTTTTCCACAATTGAAAGCTCAATTGGCCGTAGGCATACAATGCACTTTTTATGAGAGCCCGTAGAAGGAGGTGGTTGGAGCCCGGTGGTCAACAAAGGTGATGATTGAACGGACGGCCCAGAGAAGGATGCCCTAGTTGGTGGAACTCCAGAGCGCATGCAGGGTCGAGTATCCGAAGTTGCGATGTTAGACATGACTTGATGCAATTGGTTTTTTGAATGCGGGTCCCCATTGGTCAAAATCAAGCAGTAAATTCCAGTTAAGCGATCAACGCGCCGGCCTTGCTGGGCCTTCTCTGGAAAGACTGATTTACATCGATGCGTCATCAGGCGCCATTAATTCTCAGTCTTATTTGTATGGGTGTGGATGGTGATAAGATGCAATATGTGGCTATTGAAGCTCGCTGAATCGCACAAGGGTCCAGAGTCAGCAAAGACAAGATGATTCTCTCTGTGACTATGAACTCACTTTCAGTATGTATAGAAATGCTTTGGTTCGCCACACCGGGGTATGAATGCTGGTGCTCACAGGAAAATGATACAAGAAAGGACAGAGAAAAGAGAAATGGAAAATTTGACAAGATATGTAAGCTTATAGGATGATCATATAGCCCAGCTGCCCCTTCGTTCCGGCACCCCCCAGGCTTCTAGACCATTTTCATCCTCTACCATGCTGGGCTGTTGCCGTGCCCATTCCCGGATGTAAAGACGGAGAGCCTTCCATCGCATGCAGGCCTCTACGTTTTTGTTCCCCGGAGCAACAACATAGCCTCTTGCGTCGGTTTGGAGATCATCTCGTCGGAGATCTTCCACGGTGATTCCGGAGATTCGACCGAGTTCATAGTCATAATACCGTGCCACGCAGGGGTACCCCAATGAGAGATAGTTGTAAATTTGCGTGACAAAGCCATCATGGAATTCATCATCCGGATTCTGAGGAAGGATGGGACTAACACCATGCTGTGAACTCGATGGACCTGTTTCATTATATTGGCTCGAGGGGCCATTGGGCCGAGGGCTGGGGCTCAACTCAATCTCGTAATCTTGAATCATTGGAGTCATGATGCCAGATATGAGATGTGACTGCCGTTCCGGGCCATCGGCTTTGCGACAGGTGCCCATCCACAATCCCACCACTCGTCCACCGTCCGCTTGACTCTCCTCGCACCAAAGGCCTCCACAGCCACTGCACCGATCTTCCACAGTCTGGGAATCATTATTAGTGCTTGTATTCTCACAGAGCGTCCCATCTGGAGAAAGGCTCCAAGGTAAGACAATGTCGCCCCCAAGCATAGGAGGACTTGGACCCAGATTCTTTGGCTCAGGCTTCGGTTCAGTCGGCGCCGGTTTAGGCTTACCCGATGTACCCATTGCCCTCAGGCGCTGTTCTGCCTCTTCCTTGTGCTGTCGCATATATTCAAGCTCCCAGGAAAGGTCCGCAGAGGATTGTCGTCGAGACTTCAGATGGTGCTTTGAGGGATACATGGAATTTTGGTCTTCGGAGTCATCTTCATCCTCGTCGATGGCAAAATGATCCACAGGCTCGTATACTTGCTCGTTAGGAAATGCGGCCAGGGCCTGCTCCTTCAGTTGCTTCTGTGCCGAGCGAGCTGCTAGAGATAGCAAGTACTCAGAAAAGTCCCCATCATAGCTTTCTCGAAGTAGCGCATGCATATTGCCATCCGTGCCTCTCTGGGGCCGGTTGGTTGGCGAGGATGCCAGGGGTGAGCCGGCAGAGCCTTCAGATCCTTCGCTGCTGTTTGAAGGGATAGATGGCAAATCCGGGACACGGAAAGAGTGCCTCCGTGTTTCTTGGCGACGAAGTAGGCTCGCATATGAGAATTTTGATTCCGTGGGGTGAGGGGTAGTATTCCGACGAGGGCTTAACCGAGGGGCAGGATCCAACCGTTCGGTTTTAAGATTCTGAGCATTGATATGAGAAGACTCTCCGAGCATGCCCTTCACAGAGCGACGGTCCGTTTCAATCAAATCCGGTTTGAATCTTCTGGGGCCTGAGGCAATGGGGGATTGATTCTTCTCCTGCGGTCGCGTAGGTCCATGACGGCTGGCGATAGTTGTCTCAATCGGCGTAGGCAAAATTCTTCGACGAGTCTGGTCCTTGATTTGAGGCTCAATTTTATGAGAGAGGTCATGAGCCGTGTCTGAATTGTCTCTGTTCTCAGGGTTTGACCTGGTCGGTGTGATGTTGGAGCTTCGAAATGAGGTTTCAATTGGCTGGGCCAAGAACCTCCTCGAACGGCAATTTGACGGCTCTTCCAGCTGACCAGATAGAATCATCGAGTTTTGATCACCCTGCAGGGCTGGATCGAGGTTGGAAGGCTTGTTGGTCTCCAGCTCGGTCGTTCCTGAAGGGTCCTCCCATAGTGATCGTCGTTCTTGAGGGAGAGGCTGGTGGCCCATTTTCAATTCCACGCAAACTCTTACACACCACGAACACCATGCTCTATTTATGGGAAACTCGATAGAAATTTAGTCAACGAGAAATGGCATGGTTTCTGGGCGGGGATATGTGGCCCGTAGGTCTGCAATTTCAGTAGCCTTGAGCGTGTTAGGACTATATACTCCGGGAGGGAATATGCAAAGAAGGAAAGCAAGAGGTGAAAAGAGTGTGTTTGTGAAATGTATCAAATTTCGTGGATTTGTTTGAGGTTTGCAGAATGGAAGAATGAGGGGGGGAAACTTGAGAGAAGTAACGGGACAGAAGATAAGGACAAAGGCGGTATTCCATAAGATGACATCAGCCTTCATGATATTACGATAAGACGATAAGGATTACCTCCACAAACTTCCCTTCTTTTCCTCTCCGCCTGAATCACTCTGCAAAATGGAAATCGATAAACGTAAATTTGTTTCTGATGAGGAGAATCAACCGAGTTCCTCTAAAAGAAGGGTGATTGGCCCCACCTTACCCCCGGCAGCGCAATCCCCCGAATCTAGGGCCTCATCTGCTGAGAGCGAAACGGACAGTGATGATGATTTCGGACCCAGCATGCCTCCTCCACATGGTGTCTCCGAGGAGCCCATTCAGACACCAATACCTGAGTTGAATTCAATCGCATCCGATCATGAGAAGAAGGAGAGTCAACGGGATCAATGGATGCTACACCCACCTGAGCAGAGCGATTGGGCGACTAAAATCGACCCCACGCAATTGCGGAATCGGAAGTTCCAAACCGGAAAGTCTGCCCGCACATCAGCAACGAAACAGGTTGATGCTTCGTGGGTTGAAACCCCCGAGGAGAGAATGCGACGGCTTGGGGATGAGGTGATGGGCGTGGGGGGCCCTTCTAGAAGTTCAAGCAAACCATCCTCTACTTCTGAGGCGCGCCGAACTCAATCCATGGAAGAGCAAATCAAAAAGTTCAATGTAAGCTCTTGTTAATTATGCTGCTTTTGTTGCACCGCGAGAATCATACTAACGTTGTTTCTGTTGTTTATAGGGCCAAAGTAAGAAAATCACCCGTCTAGAAAAACCGGATCATGAGCGTAAGGAGGTTGAGGATGACCCTTCTGCACGTGTTTTTGATCGAGAAAAGGATATGGGGATTTCATCTAAGATCTCTAGTGCACAGCGCCGGGAGATGGTGAATCGAGCCAGCGATTATGGCTCGCGCTTTAGCAAGGGGAGTTTTCTCTAGAGTCGAGACTACCATAGAGCATTACGCTGGATAGCTAAATAAAGACTTTAATACTAATACCCTATCTAGTAATCGAAAGCCACAGTAACGCTGCTAGGTAAGGAACATACTTAAAAAGGGCTAATGACTTCAGTTTTAGGCTAAGGCTAGAGAAATAATGAGTAAGAAAGTAATAAAGAAATTCTCTGAATAGTTTTTACACTACTGGTAATCACTCATCTCAAACTTTTACTAATCATCAGTGTATCATATACTACCATATTTATAGGAGAGGAAGAGGGGTAGAGCATTTATCTCTGTTTTTCTCTTTGAAATCTGTTATATTGAATAAGATCCTTATTATTTTATACATTTTAAAGGATATAAATATCTACTTTTGTATATTAATTGGTTTCTAGTGTCCTTAATCAACTTATTAAACTTATGGTTGTATACTGCTGTTGTACTGCGGGAATACTTTTTTGTATATGGGCGCGTAATAATATCTTTTAAACTATTTTTTTTGTCTTACACTCTCCTCCTTAAGCAATTATTTTATACTTTTTTTAAATCTATAATAAATGTTTCTATATTTAATCTAAAAACTGAAATTTTTTTGTTGTAAGTATGTATTCTTCTTTTGAAGTTTAGTAAGATATTATCACGCGCCTGAATATAAAAAAGCACACCCGTAGTATAATAGCAGTACTGCCATAAGCTTGTATAAGAATAACCGCTAAGAACCTAGAGCAAAGCCATTGTATAAATAGATTTGGATATTACCCATAGGTAATGGAAAATTCTAGTCCGATGCCTATATGTATTTTTGAAGTCTAGTCCCACTCCCCATGTGATTACCTATTTAGGTAATTTCTCTAACCTGAATAGGTAAGCTTGGCAAGGCTTGGTAGGATTTCAAAAATCTAGTCCCATGATTTTGGCCCCCATGGGACTAAAAATTACCCGTTTATCTAGGTCTACTCTTATCCTTATCCTTCCTAAGACCCTAGTAGGCTAGTCCTAATAGGAATTAAAGAAAATAATTATTTAAAACTCTTAGTGAATTATCTAAACTATTTATGTTTTCACGGTTATTTTAACATTTGAGTAAGCTTTAATAATTATAAGTTATAAAATTAACTTAAAGATTAGGTTACATGTATATAATATAGGCTATATCTATAACATATAAAGTATAGAAATTAAGTTAATAATAAAAATATTAAGACTAGGGTCCTAGAGAGGATAATGATAAGAGTAATAATAAAGAAGTAATAAACTAGATACACTACTATTAGTTAACATTATTATATTTACTTAACAACTTATGACAGTTCTACTAAAATTCTAGTTGGTTATATTATAGGGCTTAGCTAATTACTTATTACGGACCTATAGGGGGCCGCACTACCCGCGGGGCACTTATACCCAATTATCCAGGATGAACGGGACGACGTACAGGTCACGTGTAAGGCATGGTTCGAAGAACCATAGCCTCTCTATAATAGGACGCATAATATAGGATAACCGAGGGTCACTAGGAAAGACTATGGTTTAGTGCGATCCTAGGAAAAGACTAACCGCACGATAAGCATGATCGCAGGATAAGGAGTGTCCTATAATTAGGCTTCCGCAGGACCCAGACTGGGTACCTAATGGGTACCCAGGAAAACCCAATTTTTCATAATTTTTCATAATTTTTCATAATTTTATACTTCTGTATTCTCTGTATTAGTTACTCTCTACTAATTCTATAGGCTTTATATTGAAGATATAGCTAGATATAGATATAATATATCTATATATATAATCTAATTTAAATCTTATCAGTGAAAGTGGGAAAAAATATAAAAAAGGTGAATTTTATGTTCTTAAAGTTTAAAATATATATTCATGTCTGAGATTGGCAGGGCAACTGGTTACCAATCTCAGGGAATTAGATCAGATGAACAAGGCAATGTGGTCAAGCTGAGTTAATTCAGGGTCTTCTCAGGAAATTCTCAGGATAGAAAGTGGAGAAGAAATTGGCATTCGATTCAAACTATTCTGCCGAAATACGAGAACTAAATACCTGAGATTTAGAGAAGAAATCAAACAGAACAAACAAATCAAGTAAAATATCACATGATATGACATAAACGAAATAGCGGAGAATTCCGGTAAAAAAGTGCGAACTCAGAGAACACGTAAGGACTCCATTCTCTGACAATATTTAATATATTTTAGTAGAGAAATAGGATTAAAAGGTAAAAGTCTAATAATTTAGTGTAGGTTGAATAGTTTAGTATAGCTAACTAAAATAGGAGGCTTAGCTAGTATACTACTAGTGATTAAAGTATATAATAATTCCTATAGGTAAGAGTTAACTATAATTATAATAATTTACTGATACTTAAATTTTAAAATAATAAAACTTCTTATATTAAAAAATCATATTTTATATTATAATATATACTATTTAGAGTGTATTTTGATAACCTATAATCTTATATTAATTATTAAAATTTAGAAAAGATTTATGATAATTTTAATAAATATTTAATATTTTATTTAATATTACTATTAGAATTCTTATAGATTATTATTAACTACCCTTAAGAAGAGTTAAATAAGATAGACTAAATAAAAGAAATTAGATAAAAGAGATTTTCCTACTTATATTATAACTTATTAAAATGTCTATTTCTTTATATAGATTAGTTAATAGATTTAACTATACTCTAAGCTCTAAAATAGTATAAGAGTAGATTTATAAGTCTAATAATAGATTCTTTTCTTGGTAGGACTTTATCTAACCTTTAAGGCTTTTTAAATACTTAATAATATAATAAGACTCTTATTCTTTAGATTAAAAAGTATTAAAGCTCAAATTTTAATATTAGGATTATCTTATATATATAGATTTTACTAGTAGCTATATTAAAAGTATAGAATAATGATTTTGAAGCTTATTCTATATAGTGTAAAGTATATAAATTATTTGCTATTCATATGTAGTCTAAATAAGCTTAGCTTAAAGAAAGGAAAAATATTAAATAAAAGGAAAAATTATCTTTTTTTTTTAAAAAAAGTTTCTTGATTAATAATTTTAGATAGCGAAAAAGGGTGTGATAGATATTTTATACATTATAAATAGTTATCTAAGATTGATAAGGAAATAAATTATTGATCTAAAGGAATTGGATTAGATAATTAAGACGATATAGTTAAGCTAATCTATTTTAGGTCTTCTTAAGGAATTTCAAGATAGAAAAAATAAAGACATAGATATAGAATTAAAAGTTATTTGATAAAAATAGAAATAAACTAAGAGGAGAATTTAGATAAGATAAATAGAATAGAGAAAATACGATATAATATTCTTTAAGTAAAATAGTAGAGCATTATAGATGAATTCTAAATTTAGAGAATATATAAGGACGCTACTTTTTAATAATAGTAACATATAAGTAAAATGCTAGACAATTCTAGTTAAAATGAAGGAAAAATTATAGACTTAGAGACTATATGAGGACTCTATTTTATAAAGTACTTTGAATCTAAGTGAGAGCTTATAATATAATTAAATATTTATTAATGAAATAATTACTAACAGCTATGAGAATAGAGATAGTGATTAAGCATAATCAATATTTTATATCTAATATTTTTAATATATAGCTAGCGCTAAATTGTCTTTCATCAAAATTAAAGAATCCTAATATATATTAAGGAAGGGAACTTGGGCTATGTTAATAAGGCTATAAGATTTAGGATATTTGATTAATTAATATAAAAGCTATATAAGTATAAAGGAAATTTTTTTTTTCTTCTTATATATCTTATATAAGTCTATGATTAATTTAAGAATTGATTAAAGAACAAGACTTGAATTAATTAGAATAAAACAAAAATAATAAATACTTATGATCATTTATATAAATTAATTTATGTTGTTTGTTTATATCCTATTCTTAGTAAAATCATAATACTTAATCATTTGTAGATACTTATTCATCAAAGATTTTATATTAATAGTTATTTTAGTATATAAAGATTAAGTATACTTAAATATTGATCTATAGTACTTATATATCACTTTTTAAGGCGATAAACAGGCTGTTTTTCTAAAAATGAAATTAGCTCTAAATATTAGAATACTACTTGAACTCTTATTATATCTTATTTTGTTTTATAAAGTATAGAAAGCTAATGTTTTATTTAATATTAAATATTTTATTAATATAAGGAATATAATCCTTCTAAAGTCTAGGCTAATATTTATAAGGAATCAAGAAATAGTAAGAGGAATATAGATAATCGAATAGATTAATATTTACTAATTAGCTAGGATCTTAGATATATATAATAGGTAAGAAGTCAAAGATATACTTATCAGCTATAATATATTTTAGATCAAATATAAGTAAGATTATCTATATAATAATTGAATATTAATAATAAGCTACTAATATTAGATTAAAAAACTTGAGATTTATATAAAACTAAAAAGAGAACAGATAAAAGATACAAAAGGATATGACACGATAGATACTTATAAAAGAATTGTTTAAGACTAGAAAATTAATCAAGTAATAACTAAGGGCTTTGAATATACTAAATAATAAAATAGAATATATTAATTTATTATAAAATTTAAGTCTTAATTTACTAACTCTATTAAATGAAATCAATATATAAGAGCCTATAAGAACCTATGAAATATCCATAGGAAATATATAAAGAACTTATAAAACTCTATTAAACTTATAAATTATCTATTTACCTAAAATGTTTATAAATTATTAGTCTTCTTGAATTCTTTAATATATTTAGTAGAGATATATTAAGTTTATAATAAGATTCTAATAAACTAAGAAGACGTAAAATAAAAATAAGACTAGATCTAGAATAATATAATATAAACGAATTATGATCAATAAGTTAAGTTTCAAATACTTATTACGCGATAAAGAAATATATAATATAACCGGTAAGCGATTTAGCTATATAAGCGAGTTAGCTACCTAACTAAATTCTTA